ATTATTTTTAATAAAAAATTTTAATTATTTCATCTAATTAAAAAAATTTGTTTATTAAATTAATAAATTATTTTGATGATAATTTAATTAAAAAATAAAAATATAATAATTATCTAATGTTATTAAAGAGAAAAAAAAGTTAAAATTAATTAAATACTATAGAAAAAATTAAAAAATTAAAGAAAAAAATTTATGAATAAAATTTAAAAATTTTAATTGACTAGTAATTTAATATAAAAAATTATTTAAAATAATTTTTTTAATTCTTTAGTAATTTGCCCTTAATCATTATTCACTAATCTCAAACTGCAATAAAATTTTTTACTAAATGCTTGATTTATAATAATTTTAAAATAAATAAATTTATCAAAAATTAATTTTATAATAATTTAAATAAAATTACTAATTATTATTCTAGACGCGTAAAGAAAGCCTTAATGCTGTTCTCTTTTCCTCTCGGACCTCACCTGGTTCGGTGCTTTAGAAGGGACCGACCTAGCAAGAGACGTCAACTTCAATACTAATTGCGGCTTCCGGGTAAAGCCCGATATATACCCATCTTGCAGTGATTATTTTAAGAGTTCAGTATTTTGTATTTTAAATTATATTAAATTATAAAATAATAATTATATTTTAATATTAAAAACTTCCCTTAATTTAATAAATAATATTTTATAATTTAAATTATAAAATATATTTTTATATCAAGAGTAAAAATGGATGTGTGATGTCATCCCCCAACCGGGTATTTATTTATTTATTTTTTCCACAAGTCCCATAACTCTGATATTGTGATTATATACGAGTTTAGACAGTTAGAAAAGGAGAATAGTGAACCGGGCGTTTAGATTTAATGATTCAACCTTATTATTTAAGTGCTTGAGTGAGGTGATCGGAATTTTGAGTTTTACCACTGTCGTAGACTCCACTAAAAAGTAGACTGATGACCGTATGCCTCATTTAAGGAGGTAAAATGTTCACTTGGTCTGAAAACTAGTTGTTAACAACTAACTCATACTAATTTTTTAATTATTACCTTTGTCCAAAAAAAAAGAAAAGAAATGGAGAATACCGACACAGGAAATTAAAATGATTCAACTCAAAATGAGGAAAATTAAATAGGGTGAGAGAGGGGCAAT